TCTCCTGCCCCTGTGTTTGCACTGCATCCCCTTGAGTAGGTCAGCCCTCCAGTTGTGCAAGTATGTAGCTGCCCACCATTAAGTCTTCCTGATGTAGCTGAATCAGCTCACTAAACTGCCCAAAGACATCGACCCTTCTGAGTCTTTGCTGAGCTGAAGTGAATGGGTTTCTGTAGTCTGTTGAATGACAGAGACAGCACAAGGCTGGCAGCAGAAGAGCGTGGCCAGGAGTGGAACCAGCTTTTAGGACAGCAGTGAGCCATTCGATTGTCTCATTAGCAAAAACCTCACTCTTTCAGCTTCATTTTACATGCAGTGTTAAGAACAGGAGCTGCTCAGTATGTGTTCTCCATATTTCCCCATATGTGTGTTATGGTCTTCAGAGGAATGGTTGGCCATAGCACAAAGTGAAGACTTCAGGAGAGTGAAACACAGATGAGGACATGGAGGAACTTACTTTGCACAGTACTTTCCTTTTGCATATCACCTTCCCCCACAGCCTGCATGAGGCAGGAGTCCTTTAAAAGCTGCCAGATTTGTTCCAGAGGCAAGCAAGTTATTATAAGCTGCTAGTGGAGTTTGGGTAATTTGTCTGACTTTGCATGTCTGGCTCAGTACTTGCATTTTTTTGTTCCCACAGAAGAGTAGGGGGTGAGTGCTGATCCCTGGGTGATGCCTGGTATTAACTGGGGCAGCAGCATGCCCAAGTAGCTGAGGATGGCAGCGTGAGCCCCAGGGGAGTCACGCACAGGGTTATTGGCACACACAGTCAAGGCAGCGTCCACTCAGGGATGTTAGATGTCTGCTGAGTGTCTGAAGAGTTCTGGCTTGATTCTTTTGCACCTGCAGACTGGAAACTGGTTTTGCCATCTGCCTGAGGCATGGTGAGACCTCCAGGAGCAGGATTACCCAGTCCAAGCATTTTAGAAGGCCCTTTCAGTTTCCCCCGGCGCAGTTCAAGGGAGAAGCCAAGTCACACGCGGTCCGATGTAACACCTCCTCACCCTGTGAAGGAAACCTCCCTGCCTGTTCACAGCTGCTACATGGCTCCCCAGCAATGTGCTGGGGCTGTCTGTAAGAAAAGATAGATGCAGGGATCTGGGGGGGGTGGTATTCCTGCCTTGTGTGGCTTTGTGTTGGCAGCTTGGAAGGAGCACTGAGTGGCCACATGCTGAGGCCAGCGGGCAGAATGAAAAGCCGCCCCATGCTGGGACCTTTTCTGTCCATCTGCTACAAGTCTGTGCTCTTCACTGCTGTATTTGGGAATGAGCCCCCATCACTGGAAGAGTTTATGTGCAGCCAGGTCCTAGACCAGCAGCTACCCTTCCCTTTCTCTGGCACAGGACTGGAGCTAGCCAGTGGTAAAAGACTACAGGTGTGTGCCCTTCATGTACATGCATGTCAGGATATATTTAGAAGTGAACTCGATTTAGAAATGAAGGGCTCAGAGTACAGTGTCTGGTTTGGCAAGGAGAATGTGAAAATGTGGTATAGATGTCTTAGATTCTTGTAGGCTGGAACTAATTGCTGTACAAAACCCTCACAGGGACTCAGTCCCTTTGAAGAAAGAGCAAACATGTTAATCCTTGTTATTCTCACATCTCTTTGGTTGCTTTCTCCTGCTAAATGTAAAGGATTTGAAATATACCATGAGGTACAACTTTTGGAGACCTAAAAAATGTAAGCATTTGTGATGACTGTCTTTCGTAATTCAAGCATGCATTTCAAAGGATTATAAAAATCTCAGTCGATAATGCATTTCAGCAATTTTGCCTTGTCAAAACCCCTTCCAGTTCCTTGGTAACTATTAATTGTTGGATTTCAGATGGCAGGGATGTTTGAGCACCATATGTGATTGCATGTGTTAAGCTCTATTGCTGCTGGGGTGGGAGGATGTCAACCACTTCTGAAAAGAAATTCATACTTGGGAATGACTTTGCCACTTGAAAAGTTAAGAGAGGAGATTATGAATGTTCAGAATCAAATTTCTGGTCCCATTAAGTTGCTGTAGGAATTTTGCCACTGGCTTCAGTCCATCAGTGATTTCACTAGCAAATGTAGCATCCAAAAGAAGATCCAGGCAGTGCCTCTGAGGAGTTGACAGGAGAGGTGCAAAAGATTGCTTAGTAAATGAGAAGAAGCAGATATTCCAGTTGTGTATGTATTTCACTTTGCTATAGCAAAGAGAAGAACACTTTATCTAAATTCAGTCTGTGATTTCTTTCTTTCACAGTTTTCAGATTTTACATGCTTTTTGAGGAACCCTATAGTTTTAACATCATAATGGTAATAAAATGAAAATATTAAGAAATATGCTATGACATGAAATGCTGTTGCAAAAATTCTTGAAGTTTAAATTGTTCTTTCCAGTCTATTATAATATCTGGCAACACTGTTGTACAATTTGTAATTGTACAGTGGTATTGAATAGGAATTACTTCCATTGAGGAATATTATAATAAAATGTTAATGAATATTATTTTTCTGATCACCTGTGTGTATATTCAGATATCACACATAATTCTAAAATAGAATTCTAATATCATAACTAAGCGTGTATCTTTTTGCTGACAGATTTGTGTTTTTTAAGTGGCCATTAATACAACATTTGTGATAAAGAGGAACAGCAAAAATGTAGTAATTTCTAACAAAATTTGTATTATTCTGTTTCAGGTCATTAACACCATGATTAATACTGTGATTTGAAATTCAGGTCTGAATTTGTGTTTAACTTATAAATTAACTATATTACATTAAGTAAAATATATTTACTTTATATATTTACTTTTTTTTCAAATTGCTTCCAGTTAGAAATACACATTTTAGTACCTCTGGCATTTTTGATGTTAATAATCCTAGGTTTGCCATTGTGGTTTATATTCCAGCAGCTTCAAGATTTCTTCATCTTTTTAATAGCTATAGTAGTACTCAGGAACAGGCTGCTTTTGCCTGGAATATTTACCATCAAAATAAGTTGGGAAGAAGAATATCCAAGAATATCCTTTATTGTGGATAAATGCTGCAGGTGCAGAAGTGGACTATAATTTGTGTAATAATATATGGCAGAGCTAGAGCCTGACGTCCCCATTTCCTGCATCCAGACCGTTCATTGACTTAGCTTTAAAATTTAGAAAAACATAATTGAACCCTGAACATTTCAGTTGCATTGATCCTCATACCAAAACTGTTCTTCCTCTGCTTCAGCCCAGCACTTGTACACAGCTCTGCAATCCACAAATCAGCATGAGCCACTTGAGAAAAAATGCATATATCTTACTTAGCAGATATATCAGTACCTTTAAAATGCAGTGCATGGCTGTAGTGTATAAAGTTGTGTCAGTTATTGTTTTATGTCCCTAGATTAGTTTCAAAAATGCACTGGATTTTTATACAAGAAATTGTGTGGGGAAAATCTAATTTGAAATCTATAAGTGATCTGCTTTTACTTGATGAGAATTGAATCTTTATTTCTTCAGGCATAAATTTACCAAGAATGTTACTATATCCTCTAGTTGATACCTAAAGTACTATCTGTTACTCAAGTTTTAAAGTAAGATTATAATCTATCCTTAGTTGGGCTAGACAGTCAGCTCCATGTATTGCATTTTGTAAATACGTATTGTCTGAAGTGTTTGTGGCATGTCTTTTCTGTAAATATTGATGAAAACCTGCACTTACTACGTCAGTGTTTTGTCTTTCTTATCACATTCACTGTGGTGTTAAACAAATGGTAGATGCCAATCATTTCAGTTAATATTGCATATTTAAATTTGCATCTAAGTGCTTTCTGTGTCAAGTGGAGGCAAAGAAGTTGGTTTTTATGAATAGCATGCTGCTTTTTTCCATTTTTTAATCAAGCTCAGAATTAGTGCTTTTCAGTGCTCTCAGTATTCATATATAAAAGGGTGTCAGTTGATTTTAGTCTCTATCAGTGTGAAACTGTTTCCAGGAACTGTATTAACTATGGAGCAGTTAATTGCTGCTTTAAATAGTGTTCTCTACATAGTCCACTAGGATGCATTCATGCTTACACTCAGCTTTATGCACTGTTTGGCAGATCCTCCTCAGAGGGTTACGCTGAGTTGCACCTTTTCTGGTGCATCAAGTTAGAGTTGTGTAATGCGTGCTGTTCTTCATGGGATTCTCTCTTCATAATAAATAATTTTTCCCCTCCTCAAATAACACCATCCCCTCACCTTGGTTATTCATTTATAAGGAAGTCTGCCAAGGTAACTGATTTGTTTTGTCTCTGTTATATGTTGAAGCGCATAATTTAGTGCATCATAATGAAAATTTTGATTTTGACAGACTGTTATGCCTTCAAAAGTAGTACAGGATTGCATGTTGTGAGTCAGTACTGGTCAGGGCAGACAGCAGGGTTACTGTTTGATCACAGTCTGGTTTGGTCCTCTGTCCTGCAGCAAATGCAAACGGTGATAGCCATGCTTTGGGAACGGTGCGCATGTGCTGGGTCCAGGATGCACTCTCCTGGTCACTTGCTGGGAACAGGCTGTACTAGCCTTCCCTGGGATGGGAATTGCTTTCAGTAATGGCAAGAGAAGCACCTCAGGAAATACCCAATTCTCTCTTTTGTCCGGTTTATGAAAAAAGCAGATGACCATGTAGCTCTGTAGCTGAAATAAATTCTCCTTCTTACCTCCTCTCCTATTAGAGAATGCTACAAACTTTGGTCAAAAAATGAATATTTAGAAGTCATTCCTCACCTGTTACCAAAAGTGAATATGACTATGCTGGCTTTTCCTCTTTTGCTTTTGAAATATGTAGCTACAAAAATCCAAGGTGCCATAATAGTCTTAAATGCCTGTCCCTGCCTGTGGAAGTAATTTGCCTATCCTGCGGTCACCTGCAGGGAGTGGAGGGTTTGGGAGTGGTAATGTCTCTAATTAATACTCTAATAGGAAATTTATGGAGAGCTGAACAGCACTTGCCTACCAGATTAATGTTGGTGCTGTTGCCCTTGTTCGTTCTTGTTTTAACAGCTGCTTGTACTGTATGTACCCCTGGAACCAGGACAAAGTTGGCAACAGCTATGCATGGAAATTGGTGAAAATTCATGAAAATTGCACAGGCTAAAGGTACATTTCTCAAGTTATTTGATTTGCCAATTAAACATAATTGGGTTATGAGGAAAACAAAAAGCTGCACCTTGTAGGGCTGTTCTGCATCACCTCTTGAGCACTGCAGTTCCCCCTGGAGGTCTCAGTAGCTGGCAGGGATGCGGTTTTGTTGGGTTCTGCTCTCAGCAGGGCACATGCACCTGGAGGGATCAGGTGGTACCTGAGGCTGTTCTTCCTCTGCTTCCAAGTGCTGGCCAGGCAGATCTCTAAATGCTGACAGCTGTTCTTTGAAAGTGAAAGATTTTGGTGTTAGCAGGGGTCTAAGCAGAGGGGATGCTGCTGCAGTCTGCATTATATTGAGCTTCAGGCAGGAGGGTGAGGGCAGAGGGAACGCACTGAAGTTAATTTCCAACTTGCTGCTGAGGGTCTTGCAAGGCTGCATAACCACCCTGAACTTTTGTGTTGTGTAGTGCCCCTGACAGATTTTTTATGGCCACCAGGTCTCTGGTCTCCCACTGGGTCATTTAGTCCCTGTCTGAAGCTCCCAGAAGCTAAGGGAGTTTGTAAAGGACTGAGGACCTGTCCTTTGCAGCCAGCAGGATCAGCAGAGCCTGTGTGCACAGCCTGTGCCAAGGCTGCCACCCTTGCTGCCCGTCTCAGACAAGTGTGAGGGACAGCAGGTAAGGGTTGACAGACTTTGCTTGGTCTTTGCTGGTGGCTCTGGGTGCTGGTCTTTACAGAGTGACAGCTATAAAATTAGATAATCAGTTAATCACTGGTAAATTAGGCTTGTGTCTTTGTGGAGAACAAATACAGTATTTATGTAAAAGTTGTTAGGAGTTTTTTTAATTAGCAGAAATAGATGCAAAATGAATGATGATTAGGCAGCTGATGAATTCAGTAGTACAATTATGCCTAAAGCTATGCCCCAGTACTTAATGATGGATGCTCTGAGCAATCAGAGAGGCCTATTTATATAATTTATTTATTAAAAAAGTTAGATATTAAGCAAGATGCCTGTGTATATTACAAGCATATGAACTTCAGCATCTGAGAAAACCTAAAATTTGATAATATGAGTATTTTTAAAGTTCTTTCTGTAATTATTTATTATAAATTTACTGTTTCTGTAGCTGCTAGTAATTTTTGAGTTTATATGAAAGGCTGTTCTTTAATCAATAGCTAGTGAAATCCTAAGCATTCCCTGGAAATGAGAACCACACAGGAATTGTACAGATGAATGTATTTTTCTTTGTCCTTTTGGGTAGTCTGAGACCGAGGAGTGGAGGAAATAACAGAGCCCTGGGTGTCTGCTCTGTGAAGCTTTAAGAAAATGCAAGTCATGATGAGCAGCTGCCTTGTATGCAGCCAGTTGGGAAGGCTAAACTGATTAGTCTGTAAACACTAGGAGATGGTAAGTGTTGGTGTCAAAGGGACTGTGACAGTCATCAGATTGTGGTTTATCTCAGGCTGTCATTTGAATGATGGCTCTCCCCCACAGAAGCTGTTTTATGACTTTGTAGAGGTATAATCTGAGCCCAGCCTGATGGGTCCAGAGCTGCTCAAAGCAGCCTCCCAGTTAGTACTCTGTTTTGTACCACCAACCCTGGGCTTTTCACGGGCAAGACTGTTATTTTCTTTTCACCAACTAGGAATTACAAACATAAAATTTACTAGGCCTGACAGAGTGGAAATTGGCACTTGCCCGTTTGCAGAAGGGTATTAGACAGCAGCAGAGAGCTCCCTGAGGACAGAGCAAGGGGGCTGCTCACAGGAGCAGCAAGCAGGTGCTTCCTCTCCTGTGTCTGCCAGGGGCACTAGCAAGGTTGCATTTTGCACTTTGTGCTCAGAGATGGTCACAGGAAAAGGCGTCCCTGTAAACAGATGGACTTCTAACCTGCTGCAGAGCTGGGCAAGAGCAGGAGGTGATCCTTTCTGCTCTAGCTGGGTGATGCCCTCGGGAGGGGTGGACGATGGGCAGTGAGCATGGCAGTGCTTGGTGGGTACAGTCACCTCTGTGCTGGGCTTGTGGCAGATATTCTTCAGCGAGGCAGCTGAGGATACACAGCTGTGCATGCAGGAACTGGAGCTCATTTCTGATACAGGTCCAGTAGCTGCACTACCTGCAGAAGTTGTATATAAAACCCACTCTTGGTTTGTTTCTTCAGTGATCTAGACAGGAAAGAAGCTCCGATTTGCACTACTTGTGGACTTCTTGGCTATTTTAAGTTTTAGGGTTATTTAGCACCCAGTCATAGGAACTTCTGCTAAAATATAGTCCATGTCAATGGGAAGAAAAAAGGATTGCTCACATAGAGCAGAGAACCTCCTGCAGTCTCGCATGTCCCAGTAAAGGCTGGTGTTTTTCAAAGATATCCTCTATTCTGGGTGATGAGCAAGCCCTTCTTCCTCAAGATTTTCTGGAAGACCCTGAGGCACCATCACCTGGACAATGAATTTTTATTTCAATAAGGGTCAGAGGGAGCAGTCAGAAGCTCTGAAAGCCAGCCACAGTGGAGCTCCTCCATACAACCCCCACAGCTGCAAATGTGTTAGGAGGGGGTCAGAAGAGCTGTTTCACAGATGCTGCCTGCTGGGAGATACATAATAGGAGGATAAACAGTAAATGGAGATAAGTAAGAGAGGCTGAAAAGACGGCTATTATCCCCTTTACAGTAGAGAAAAGTTTTAAACCAAGCAAAGGCAAAATTAAGAAGAATATGGAGGCTAGGGGCATATATATATATATATATATATATATATGTTACCTTAAAACATTATTCCTGCTTCGGGAGGTTCTGTAGGAAAGAAGAAAAGAATTACAAGGAAAAACAAGCAACAATCCAGAAGAAGAAATTCTAGGAAACTTGCCCTGAACTTTGGAGCAAAGGTTGGAGACTGGAATCTGGTTACTCAGCAGCGGGCTGATAGAGGAAGAAAGGAATTTGTGGAGATAGCAATGAGATATGTGGAGTATCATGAATCTTTTTTTTTTATGTTTAAATTCCATGTATTGCATTTAATTACATCTCTTCTGCTTTTCTTTTTTTCTCATGAAAGTTAAAAGTTTGTTGTATTTAAATCTGTTAAAAAAATGTGCAGCACCTTTCACATTTGATCCTTTCTATATTACTTACATTTAGAATAGCAATTTTTACTACTGTCCTATGAATTGTGTAAGAGCATCTTCCCCGTCCTTCTAATTCTCTTGGGAGTAAACCATCCCCAGCACATCCTGATGTGGCAATTCAAAATCCTGATATTCCTGGTAGGAACTATTTCTTTAATGGGGGCCTGTAATGGTACCTCTGTACTTGCACAATGGAAAAGCGTAGTTTAAGACACAGGCTTTGATTTAAAAGCTGTTGGCAGCTGCCTTGCAGTAGGTGTATTTCTTTGCTTTCCTAGCTGAAGATTTGTATGAAGTGTGGCGATTAAGAAAGCAGGTTTCCTGCTCTGGATGCAGCGGACAATGCTAGTTGATCTGCAAGCTGCAAAGATGGTGACATTGGTTACTGGTTTGCAAGGATAAGAGACTATTGATTTCTGGCAAATAGATTATGGTAGGGCAAACATTCATAAAAGCCATGCAGAGAGCATAATAATGTTCAGCAGTGGAAATAAAAAATGCAATTGATTTAGCATGCTGCCATAAAGCAGCACTCCTCCTCTCCCTACCCCAGTTACAGGCTCTTCCCTGCTGCTGTGCCTCTGCCCGGGCACTCACCAGGGAGCCGAGGGCACCACTGGCTCTAACTGCCTGGAATTTGGCAGCTGGAGGGGATGCCACTCGCCTTGGCCTGCCTCAGCATTTAGAAATTGCAGCTTCACTGTCCAGACCTGGCTCTGTGTGGTAAACCCATCTGGCTGAGGAGAGCCAAGTTCTTGCCGAGTGCCCCCTGCCATCCCAGCCTCCCACACCCGCTCAGCTCCAGCCCCACGCACATGTTCTGTGCCCTCCATTGCGCACGTGCATCTTCTGCTGGGGCTGGTGCTTCCTTCTGTTTAGCTGTTGTGCACCTGGAAAACGTGAAATCAGGATTATTGGTTTTAGTTATCATTGTCCTGCATGAAAATTAAACCACTCATAGCAGCTGTTTGGTGTATAATGGTTTTCTTAAAATTCAGTTCCATGACAGCTTTGAAAGGCAGAGGTGTGGCAGCATTGTGCCAGTGGGATGCTGTTTCGGGTTGCTGTTTGTATACTGGACTTTCTCTTCTACTTCCAGAATGTTAGAATCAATGTTGCCTAGTTTTTAGATTTTCAATATTTTATTTTAAATATTTAAGTGCTAGGCCCAGTAGCAGGAAAGTGATGGGTTTTTTTCAGCCTGTCAATAAAAACACTGAAATGAATGGATCTGGGTGTGATTTTGTAAGCTCAGAGGATCAAAGCTTGAAATGCTTGCACAGGAGAATCAGAAGCAATAGGTTTTTCCCATTTGTGCTTTAAAGTAAACTTAGATCCTTGCATCTCGCAGTATTCCCCTACCTTTTAGTAGTACAGGCTTTTTTTGAGTATAAGCAATGATGCCAACATATTCTTCCCCTTTTCACAGGCTAGCCAACCTTTCTGGGTCTACTCTGTAGTAGTCCCCCAACCTGCTTCATCTCGTGTGGCATTTCTGTCAGTTCTGGTTTGTCAGCCTAGCCTGCAGTTTAGAGGTGGGGAAGCCAGGATCATTATGGGATAAATATCCCCTTCTTCTCTCACAGCCATACTGAAACTTGAGGACATCTTACTACATCATGGCAGTGCCCTGTTGAGGTGTAACTGTTTAGTAATGCCTCTTAAGGAGTCTTTGGCTCAGCCTTGGTTTTTATGCAAACTGCCTGTTGTGGTGTTGCTCTAGGCTGGCTGTGTCACTGCTTTTCAACCTCAGGTACAGTTATTACTTCCTCTTCTCTCATAACTGGAAATTATTCAGCTTTTCAACTAAATTGCCTTTATTTTTACTTACAGTACTAAAAGAAATTGTTAGGTTTAGAATTCAGGTTTGGGTTTTGTTTTTTTTTTG